CCCCAAAACCCCAAAACCCCAAAACCCCAAAACCCCATTTTTCAAAATTTAAATTGATAATAAGAAAATGGAGAGAATATACCGCAAACTTACAAGCTCCAAGCCGAGACAGCGAAAGGTCCAACCCAAAACGAGAACAGAAGCATCCTCAGGTATTCCAGTTTGGGTCATTTCTAGCCTCAGAGATCGGATATATCTGAACCACAGAGCCAGATGTCAATAAATCTTTTGTTCCTCATCCTTGGAGGAAGAAAAGGATCCGAATGCAAGGACTCAGGTAGGAATCTTTAATTGAACCTGTTCTAGCAAAAATAGCTCAAAAAGTATCAACTCCTTAAGCCAGGCTTCTTTAAGTACGAATAAAACAACCTTTTCTCAACCAAGAAGAAATTATGCCACACATCATAATATGCCGATCCAGAGCAAGATTATTGGCGGGATGGGCCATAAATTAAAAGGAGAGATGTCTCCAAGAACCGGGTTTGCTAGCCAGTAAGTATACTCTCACTTTCCTTCAATTCTGGTTGATTTTTATTTCCCAAAAATAAAAATCTAATTTGTCAATTTTAACACGAATTCTAGATCTCTGGCCAAACCTCTCGAAAGTTTCTCCGTGTCGCAATCTTCGTTCACCAAGCTGTGAGTGAAACCGCTAATTGTTTAGTTATAAAAGAAGGTGAGCTGATCAGAGAGGACCTATAAAGGCAGATATGGTTTCTTCAGTCACAACTCATGGAGGAAGTAGCTTGCATGAGTATCTCTCACCCACAAAGATGGGCAACAACTCTATGTATAAGTTCCAAGGAGCCCAAAGAAGCCACCAATCACATAATTCAATGAATAGCCATAGTGCTCGGATCAAGTCTAAAAATAAGCCTCCTAAATATCATAAATAAAACCCAGAATGAAAACACGAACAAGGATGCAGAGTCGCTAAATGCTCATAGAAGGAAAATAAGAACAAAGAGAACATATAGTGCTAGGAACAAGCCTCAAAGTTCATGCTACTATGCTTCTGGCTCAAGTAAGATAAATTTCTTTCGGCTCGGGCATCCTATTTAATTCATATTTCAGGAACAAATTGGGCTTTCTGAAGGAGTTACAATTCTATATAGGCGTCGCCAAGACTCCCTCTAATTTCAGGAATTTCAATGTCGATGATCTAAAGCAATGAGCTGACCCAGAGGAGACCGATGGGCATGATTTTACATTTTCAACAGAGAAACAACCGTTGGATGACTCATACTCTAACCAAATTGCTGGATCTTACGGAAGTGCTCTCAAAAGGATCCCTCTCAGCTCAAGTGAGAAATAAACAAATGAAGAATTCTCATTCAAGTCCGAGCCTTGCTGGCTCTTCTACAAAACAAAAGACTCGACAGATAAAGGAATATAAGGAGGTTCCAGCACAGAAGTGATGAAAAGAACTTGATTACAATCAGATCCAACTCGAAGGTGAATTAAGGTAGACTCAGCTGTTAACACCTGTCTAGTATGATTAAGTTAAACGAGAGCGAAGCCCTTAACAATGATATTTTCAAGCCAATCCATTACGATATTTCAAACAAAGAGAACATCAGGAGTCAGAATATCAGAGAACAAGGAATCCAAGGAAAATGTCTTAATGAAGAAGGTAAGATCTTCAAAATTTCCCCAGAAAGAAATTCACTAAACCTCTATCTTTAGATTTGGATGATACCTTCTCTTCTTGAGGATCTCTATGTGATGTGAATGACTCAGCACTCTGAGAGATGAAGGACACTTCTATAAAATCTAAAGGGATTAAGGATCTCTTCATTCAGAACTCGGTCAAGGCTAAACCGATTGTATTTGTTAGCAAACCCAAAAAGAAAAAGATAACCTTTGCATGCCATTGAAATTCTGAAGAAGAGTTTAAAAATCATCAGAAATTTCAAGGTAATTTTTTTTAGCTTATTCTCTAGAGTTGAGAAGTAATCTGCCTTCTCCATCTGGAACTGAGGAAGCATGACTAAGCTTGCCTCTCAACTGATGAAACAGAGCCCTAAAATGGATAGAGCCAATTTATACTTCTCAGATGAAATCTATGTATGAAGGAATTAAGGATAGTCCAACTGATGGTCTTGAGCACTCAATAATTCAAATAAAGAGAGACATCAATCGGACATACCCTAACCAAGACTTCTTCAAGAAAGACACTGAAGGTTACATGATGCTAGAATCTTTGTTAACCTCTTATTGAAAGTATGACAGGTCTATTGGATATGTTCAAGGAATGAACTTTATCATGGGTTCTCTTCTTTATCACTGCCCTGACCCTCATGTAGCATTCTGGCTCTTTGTCACGCTAATGGAACAATACCAGCTCTGAGACAACTTTAAAGGTGACCTTAAAGGAATCGAAAAGCATTGAGGAGCAATTAAAATAATAATCGCTAATGAACTGCCAAAGTTAAATGGGCATTTTGACAAAAACGAAATAACTATCGAGATGTTTGCTACAGACTGGATTTTTGGAGTTTTCTCACATGTCATTCATTTAGACTTTATGGGTGCCTTTTACGATAACTTTTTAAAAGAAAGATGGTACTTCTTTTACAAAATGGTAGTGATCTTCCTCAAGGACATCCAAATTTCTCTCCTTCAGGAAGAAGAGATGTGTGATGTGCTTTACACATTAAAGACACTAGCAACCCCAGTCAGGAGTGATCACTCCCCTGCTCCATCAAAGCGAAGCTGCCAGCAGACACAGAGCAAGAGCAGCAAGGCTTGCTCTGAAGTCTCAAGCGATGACCTCTACCATTCCCCAGGTAAAAGCAAAGGTCTCAGCTTTGCTACCATTGATATGGGAGTTTGGCGTAGTGTAAAGGAAATCTTCAAGAAGAAACAGTACGAATGAGACTGGAATGTCATCATCAAGAGAGCTGAAACCTATAAACTCAAGAACCCTCAAGCAGTCAAAAAGTTTTGAATGGATTATGATCTGACCCATTAATATTTTCTAATTCAATTTCAATTGGTAATAATTAGGGAGGGGTTTTGGGGTTTTGGGGTTTTGGGG